CCCCCCCCCCCCCCCCCCCACCCCCCCCCCCCCCCCCCCCCCCCCCCCCCCCCCCCCCCCCCCCGCCCCCGCCCGGATACTTGAAATCTTCATTCGTTACCGACTAAATGAAAAGGTTTGACTGAGGGTGAGGGTGAAGGTGAGGGACGGTATGTGATGTACATACGTTTCTATATGTAAGAGAGACGATCAGCGCGTTCAAGTCCGCTGATTATGATTGATTTCTTTCTGACCACTAGCATGAAATAAATGACTTTTCAAACTTTTCAATATTTTGCGTCTCCCAGGTAAGATCGGTGCCTTATTTTAAAAAATAGTGCAGAGTAGTTAGAGGTAAAATGTATAGCTGCAGTTTCCAATCAAAATTTTGATCGCTCTTCGTTTTTGTGTAACTTTTCTAGAAATAATGTGGTAATTGAGAGAAGAAGGTGGTATAAAAATGTTCAGTGGATTGAGCGCTATCATCCAGACTACGTTGCTTATTCGTTCGGTCAACCAAATTATGAAGCTTTCAGTGCACTTTCCAATCTTCCCGAAGGGTAGTTGGCTTTTGAGTCTTTCTTTCCACATTGTGTTTTCTTTTTTGAATCAGCCAGTCGTTCTCGGTTATGTCTAATCACACAGATTTGCAAAAAAGGCGATTCAGATCTACAAGTGTTGCAGTTGGCACATTTGAAGGTATTCTTTAAAAATAGGCTTTAGTTAGTTCAGGATGAGTCCCGAAAGTCAAGTATTTTTTCAAGAACTTCGGCGTTTTCTCTTAGAGAAAACCATTCATTATCTCATATGAGATAGTGAATGGTCAGTGATACGTAACAGTATATATGCTCTATAGCATGTATATAGTGTACATAGTGCAACACAAGAGCATCTAGTGTATAGTATACAGAGTAAGGCTCAGAAGTCACCTGATCGTTCACCGTTCGTAGCATTATTGCAGGCGTTTTCTGTGCTCTGCATGAAAAATGCAAATACCGTCTGAATATCTCTTCGCCGTTTCACTTAATCGATTTTCAATCTTTGTGCAGCATAGCTGGACTCTAGTTTAATCTTCGATTTCTGTGAAAGTTGATTAGAATCTTGTTTGTAGACAATCACGTTATCTAGAAAGACGTTTGAAATAGTAGATGAACCGCCTCCAGTCGCTCAGGTCAAATAAGCCTACCGTAGGATCCTGTAAGATCCTAGAAAATCTTGTAGGACTTTGTAGAAAAATCTCAAAGCCAAAAAATCCTACGGTAAGATTCTTATAGGATTCTGTGATGAGATCTTGTAGAACCTTGCAAGATCCTACAGGATCCTATTGTAGGATTGCAGCAGGATTTTATCTGATTTTCTGCTGGCTTATCCTACTAAATTTATTGTTTTAATTTATTTAATTATTCTCTGATCCTAGCTAGCCAGAATCACGTGACTCTAGCTGAACTCTAGTTTGATCTTCGATTTCTATGAAAGTTGATCGGAATCTTGTTTGTAGACAAGCACTTTATCTAGAAAGAAGTCAGAAATGGTTGAGGAAGCGCCTCCAGTCATTGCTTATCTCTAAAATGGCTCTTTAAAAACGAATAAATTTTGAATAACGGTCAATTCCCGCTACAAAATAACAAATTCCACGGAATTCCTACTTACGAATTTGGCAAACTTGAGACTAAAAGAGTTTTTCATTGTTTACAGTACAGTAGAGTTGTATTTATATTAGAGTTACTGGAGAACACATTGATGATTGTGTTCTCGTATAGAAAAAGAAAAGAAAGTATATACAGAGCGAAAAAGTAGGAATCCTACACAAAATTTTGCCGTAGGACTTTGTAAGGAATGCATAACAGTCTTATTATAGGAATCCTATAAGATTTTTGCTATCGTCCTATATCAAGAATCCTACGGAATTCCTACCGTAGGATTTTATAGGACCCTGTAATAGAAATCCTATGAAAACCTATTAGCAGTAAGATTCTATAAGATCTTCTGGATTACTTGACCTGGAGATCATTGCTTATTTCCAAAATGACTCTTGAAGTATTTTCTATTTGAAAAAGTCGAGGAGCTTTTTGTTCGTCTCAACTAAGTTATAATTAAGTGAAATTGAATAATACTTCGCGAGAGAGACTCTGACACGACGTACATCTTCTGATTGTCCTCTGAAAAATTTATGCAGTTAATAATCTTGACAAATATATTATTATGAGCGCATGAGCGGTAGAAAATCTAACCTTATTAATTATTTTAATTGAAGTACAACAAATTCGGTTGATTCTCAAATGTTTCATTTCTCAGTCATATTAAATCTATTTTGGTTTCTATGAATAATAACAAAAATAACTAGTAGTAAAATAATTCAGCTAAAAAATACTACATAGATTTTGAAGAAATAAGTCATGTTGTACAAAATCCGAATCAATAAAAAATTATTACGATAAAATTACATCGAGTAGAATAAAGAGATAAAGAATGAGATTTTTAAATATGTGTTTTTGTACATCGAGTGATGCACTTGTAGAAAAAAAAATAAATACATATATAAGCATAACATCAATGTTCAAACTGATTTTCTCTTTATCTCTTGGAAAGCAGCCAAATGTGTGTACACGCGACTAAGAGACGCGCTATCAGTAAAAATTATATCTTGTTTTCAAAATAGAGTATAGTGCTAAATAACTGACAATGTCTTGATAAAGCAGAAGAGAAGAAATTTATATACTTGCGGCAAAAAAAAGAACATTTTCCGATTGTTCACTAGTAAAATAAACGTAATTATATTTTCGTTCGAACTTGAAAAAAGAATTGAAAAGTTTTCTACTAGTATTAAATAAAGTATTTTTTTGTATGAGTTGGGTGATCAATTGAAGTCAGACTTGACTTGGTCCGAAATGTTTTAGGGTGTGGGTGGACTTGACTTGGTCTACTGTTTTTGCAGGGTATGACTCAGGGGTAAAAGAGTTGACAAAAGAACGCGCTTCTTTTTCTTGTTTAACCACCGAAAAACGCGTTAAGTGTTTCAAACCTACGGTGTTTTTTTGTCGTTTAACGCGTTTTCTTTATCTGTGCGTTTGAAAATGCGTTTTTCGGAATTTCGCAAGGCGGGATAATAGTAAAACATGGAGACACCCACAGGCAGCTACACGGACATCCATGGATGTCCGTGTAGCCGTCTGTGATAGTATATGTGCTGTTTGTTTAGTTGTCTGTGGATGTCTGTACGCGCTTTTCTTTATCTGTTTGTTTGAAAACGTGTTTTTGGAATTAGCGAACGATCGTTAAAACAGCCGTTTAAAGGCGTTTGTTGCCTTTCAAAACTTTAGAATAACGGGTTAGCTAACGATAGTTAAATTTACCGTTTTCTGGCGTTTTTGAACACGTTTTCTAACGACGTTAAAATGATATAACTTTGAATTCTTTTCTTTTTGTAAACGCGTTTAGAAACGACACGGTATAACGCGTTTTTATATAAAATAAACGTGTTTCAACGATCATTTAAATGTCGTTAGAAAACACATTCAACTAAAACGCCAGAAAACGGTTAATTTACTGATGGTTAGCAAAGGGTTGTCAAAGAACGCGTTATTCTAAACTTCTGAGCGACAAAAAACGCGTTGAAACGGCTCTTGTAACGATCGGTCGCTAACGTGTTCGAAAAAAACACGTTTTTCGTACCATTTCTAACAAGATCACATAGAATAGAATTCTATATAATACATTTCCCAGAAGTATAGAAAAATGTATTATGATGTCTCGAGAACTAGTATTACCCGCGATCCATATAAATTTTCATTTGAAATGGAAATTTGCGGAAATCTGTGTAGAATATCTGTAATGTTGGAACTGTGACATGAGATTAGAATACGACTGTAGCGCCTCAACATATTGTTAAAACGTATTCTCCACATGTAACGGTAAGAGCGATATTGTTGTAGATCTATGATCAACATATTCAGAATAGGAACTCAGCGTCTGAGAACGTTGAAGAGACTGTCGGGAAGAAAGCTATTCGTTAGTCACACGGCCCAATGGTTAAGCGCAATATTTGTGCCAAAAAAAGTTCAATTAATAACACAATTAATGCATTCACGGAGAGGACGAACAAAAAAACAGTCCCATAAAAATGGTACTAAAAAGGAAGAAAAGAAGAAGATATATACGGAACGCATAAGAAACAAAGAGAAATAACGTTTACTCCATTTTTTTTTCTTACTGTTCTCTCCTTTTAAAAACCTCCTTAATGAGTAAATTCAGTGATAAACAAATCACTTAATAAAGACTTGTCTTATGTTTCAGACTCGAAGACACCTGGTACTACCTCTCACCCGCATAAAGTCTTTGAATAAAGTTCAATTTTGGTTATTAGTTTTTCCAGTGAAACCTTTTTTCTCTTGTAGATGACTATTTGACTGATTGAAAATAAACTTGTTTACAATGTCTGCAGATGATAGTAGTGCCGTGTCTGAGGCACGAAACGGAGACGAAATTAAAAATGAAACAAAAAAGTCAAAGGTATTTTTTAATTATAAAATTTTGAATAAATATCGACTTTATTGACTTGTTTATAGGATCAAAAATCATCGAAAGATGTATGTGATGAATACGGAATTGAATATTTCGATATGAAATTTACCGATAGTGATTATGTCAATTTGTCTACATTTAAACTATTTACTCAACATGCACGTCCGATATTAGCACAAAAATATTCTAAACTTGCCACATCCAAAGTTATGGCACTTATGGCAGCCAAATGGCGAGAATTTCTCGAAGCTAAAACGACACAACTAATCATACCAAGTGGAACCATAGGACCAAACGACAGTAATGATGACGGTATTTAAAAATACAGCTTTGAAATTGTTTTTAGCGTTTTGTCCAAAAAATACTTCCTTCCTATCTTTTCTGATGCTTCGAAGTTTCGATGCTTTAAACGCTAGTTGCAGGTGCTAACATTTTTCTGTTGTTGTTCAGATATAACAAATTCTGATCGTATGGATGTCGATGATTCAAAATTATTACCACCACCTACAGTTTCTTCGAGTCGATCCCGTAGACGGAAACAGACGGCTCAAGATGAGATTAATCCCGACGATGTTGAAGATACAGAAGTCGAACCGTCTCAATCATCAACAAGAGGACGTAAAAGTGGGGCAAATAAACGAGTTCCCGCACTTAAAATTAAACTCAGTCAGAAAGAACAAAAAGAACAACAACAACAGTTGGCAGCAACAAATTCAGATTTATTGGATACTAGTGTGGGTGATATGGATACATCATTAAAACAACCCCAAGCAGCAGCAGCAGCAGCAGCAGCAGCAGGACTAAAAAAAACAAACCGTACAAGAAAACGTAAACGTCGTGACGATGAAGATCCGTCAAATGAATCGGATGCTGAATTCGAAGCAATGTTAGTACAAAGTGAAATGGAAGAGGAAGAACAACCAAAGAAAAAACGTGTTAAAAAGCCACCAAAACCACCGAAGAAAATTGCTCGTTTAAATCGAAAGCCAGTACAAAATAATAATCAAGATACATCATTGACAACTACAACAACAACGGCCATAACATCAACAAATGGCGGTATAACAGAGCAAGGTGGCTACGAAACGGATCATCAAGATTATTGTGAAGTTTGTCAACAAGGTGGTGAAATTATTTTATGTGATACATGTCCGAAAGCCTATCATTTAGTGTGTCTCGATCCAGAACTAGAACAAGCTCCCGAAGGCGATTGGTCATGTCCAATTTGTGTTAAGGAAGGTGTGCCACAAAGACCAAAACAACAGACAATTGTCACACATCATGGAAAAGAAGAAGATGATAATCATATGGAATTTTGTCGTGTTTGCCGTGATGGAGGCGAATTGTTATGTTGTGATCGATGTCCGTCATCTTATCATATGCATTGTCTCATACCACCAATGACAATTATACCAGAAGAAGATTGGTTTTGTCCAAGATGTACAGTAAGTTCATTTTTTCTCTATTTCAAGTAATGACGCTCATTTGTCTCACTTAATAAGGTTCTTTATATTTTTAGATTGAACCTCCACGTTATGTTGTTAAAAAGGTTATTACATGGCGCTGGATCACGCATCCTGATCCATCGATTAGCACCGATACAACAACAGTAACAAAAACAACTACAGAAAGTGACTCATCATCCACCACAACAACTATTGAACAAACTTCGACGACTGTCGAAACAAGTGATACACCAACAGATGTTCAACAACGTCTGATCCCCACTGCGGACCCAACATTGCCACCTGGTAGCAAAAAAGGACCGCCAAAAACACGCGAATTTTTTGTGAAATATGATGGTTATTCATACTGGTCATGTGAATGGATACCAGAATTGCAATTAGAAGTGCATCAAGCACCATTATGGCGTTGTTTTGAGAAAAAAATACGCGATACTAAGCAGCCACAGTTAACACTTGATATTGAACAGGAACAAGAACAAGAAGAAGATGACGAGGTGGCACGTCGTTATTGGAATCCAAAATTAGATGATCGTTATTATAAACATGGCGTTAGACCAGAATGGCTTGTTGTACATCGTATTATCAATCATCGTAAAGAAAAAAATGGTCCCATGTATTATTTGGTTAAATGGCGTGATTTAGGTTATGAACAAGCAACATGGGAAGTAGAAAAAGATGGTGAATATACAGATTTAATAGCCGATTGGCAACAACATATTGATACTTATTGGAAATTAAGGTATGTGCTGAACGGTTATATTGATAAAAGTATGACAGGTAACTTTTTTCAGAAATGGTACAGTAGACGAAGAGAAAAAGAAGAAAAAATCGACAAAAGGAACAAAACGGACAAATAAAGATTACTCAGAGGATACAAATCGTGCTTTCGATGCTAATCTTGAGTCACCTGATGACGGTAGTAGTGGAAAATATCCACCACCACGTAAACGTTATGAAAAACAACCAGATTTTATCGAAGCAACGGGTGGTAACCTTCATCAGTATCAATTAGAGGGTCTAAATTGGCTAAGATTTTCGTGGTCGCAAAATACCGATGTTATATTAGCCGATGAAATGGGTCTTGGTAAGTTAATTATGGGAACAATACACTTTTTTATTTAACCCTTTAATGTTTGGTTTTGGGTCAATCGCTTATGAAAATGGACCACACCAGACCTCGATATGACTTTCTGACGCTCGAAAAAAATTACTTTTCATTTTTAAAATAATTAAGCTTTTGTAATTTAAAATCAAAATTGAAAAAACTTATGTAACTTAAATGAGCTCAGATGGTGAAGAAAACTGAGAAAACGAGTCCAAAATCCCAGCAAAATATAACCTTTCGTTATGTACCATCAGCAGCCTACAGTTTAAATAATAATTTCTTCAGCTGACATAATTTGAAAGAACACACCTTTCTACATATTTTTGAAAAGTTGTTCAATAAAAAACTTTTCCTAAAGTACCTAAAAAAATTAAATTTTTTTGACCATATTCTTCATTTTAAAATTCGAATATCTCGACTAGCATAAAACATAAACAAAATACTTTTTTACCATTCAATAGCCAATTTAATTCTCTACAACCGATATGAGATTAGTTTTTTCAAACAATGCTTCCTAATTTTGTTATAATGATAATACGAGTGTCGATTTGAATGGATATTGGGCTTTAAAGGGTTAATGTAAACTTGAAATCCGAATTGTTGACCTTAATTTTTTAAACTATTTATTTACTTTTCTAGGTAAAACAATTCAAACAATTGCGTTTCTTCAAGCATTGTTAAAAGAAGGTTTATCACGTGGCCCATTTTTAATCAGTGCTCCATTAGCAACAATTATCAACTGGGAGCGTGAATTTGAATTTTGGGCACCTGATATGTATGTCGTCACTTATACGGGTGATAAGGAAGCACGCGCAGTTATTCGTAAACATGAATTTTCCTTTGACGAAGATGCCATACGTAGTGGTCCACGAGCAAGTCGTATACGTAGCGGTTGTAAAGTAAAATTTCATGCATTATTAACATCTTATGAGTTGGTTAGTGTTGACTCAGCTACATTATCGAGTGTCGATTGGTCAGTGTTAGTTGTCGATGAAGCACATCGTTTAAAAAATAATCAATCACGATTTTTCCGTACATTGACTGACTTTAGTATTAATTATAAAGTACTGCTTACGGGTATGTACATCAAAATGCATTGCTATGGCGAGTATACGGAACATGATTATTCTTTCGTTGTTTAAGGTACACCATTACAAAATAATCTTGAAGAGCTTTATCATTTATTGAATTTTTTAACACCGGAAAAATTTAGCGATATGGACGGTTTCCTGAAAGAATTTAGTGATTTAGCTCGTGATGAACAAGTGAAAAAGTTACATGATCTATTAGGTTCACATATGTTGCGACGATTGAAAGCAGATGTTTTAAAAAATATGCCATCAAAATCAGAATTTATTGTTCGTGTAGAATTAAGTCCTGTACAAAAAAAATATTATCGTGCTATATTAACAAAAAATTTTGACGCTTTAAATGTAAAAGGTGGTGGTGGACAAGTATCATTATTGAATATTGTTATGGAATTAAAAAAATGTTCAAATCATCCATATTTGTTACCAGCTGGTCATTTTGACGCACCACGTGCACCCAATTTAGCATATGAAGGTAATGCGCTAATAAAAGCTTGTGGAAAACTAGATTTATTATCAAAAATGTTGAAAAAACTCAAAGATCAAGGACATCGTGTTTTAATATTTTCTCAAATGACTCGTATGTTAGATATATTAGAAGATTTTTTGGAATTTTTGGGTTATAAATATGAACGAATGGATGGTAAAACTGGTGGCATGGAACGACAAGATGCAATTGATCGATTTAATGCACCCGGTGCAGAACAATTTTGTTTTCTATTATCAACAAGATCGGGTGGATTAGGCATAAATTTAGCAACAGCCGACACGGTTATTATTTATGATAGTGACTGGAATCCCCATAATGATATACAGGTAAGCTTAAGGAAAATTTTCTGAAATAAATTACTTAATTTTCGCAGATATGTATCGCAAAGGAGCTTATAGAGATGACAGCAATACAAAAAGTTCCAGAAAATCTATTGCTTCATGTTTTTTTGCAAGTTGCTTAGCAGTAATATAGTGCTATGAAGATGTCCTTAATATCACAGAGAGCAGTTTATGCCTAAAGCGGAGGGACAATGAACAGTAAGTGGATACACCCAAGGTTATTGTGCTTACTGGGTTCAATGGACATATACGAAATTGTGTACCGCGTATGTGTATATGTGTGAAGAAAAATAATAATTTTATAGCTTCAATCACATAGCTTATCTAAGTTCATTTACAGGCTTCGAAAAACTACTTCAACGTTTTAAAAATGCGATCTGCTATTATGCAAAAATTTTCCTCCTATAACAAGATATAATAGTTGTAAGTCGTAATATATTCAGCCTTAAAGAGCAAATCCTACGAATAAATCAGTTTTAAAAGTTTTCAAACAACAAAACGAAATAATAAATTTAACGAAAAGTTTTCTTAACGATAAAATTGTTTTTTCTAAACCACATAAATCTTCTAATCATCGTACTATTCATTTTTTTCCTAGGAACTATGTTTGAAAAGGAACTATGTTTTTCTTTCGTAAGATTTGTTTTTTAAGAACTACTTTTTTGATAAATTTCAAAATTTCAAAACCTGAACGAATTCATTTTGAACAAGAAGCATGTTGCCACTAATTAAACTCACTGAATAAGCTTCCAGCAAAAGAAAGATATAAATGATCAAAGGAGTGCAGAAATCGAAAAACGGAAAACTTTGGAGGTTTGTCTTTTTCTCATAATTTGATGAGGATTATCAAATAATTCTACGAGCAGAAGTAATTTGAGAGATGAAAAACGAAGAGTGATGTAATGATCATTCAGCTATGATATTTTTGTTTTTAGGCTCTTAGTCGTGCACATCGTATTGGTCAACAAAACAAAGTGATGATCTATCGTTTTGTCACACGTAACACAGTCGAAGAACGTATTACTCAAGTAGCCAAGAAAAAAATGATGTTAACACATTTAATTGTTCGTCCAGGTGTTGGTCGCGGTATAAATATGAGCAAAAAAGAATTAGATGATATTTTACGGTTTGGTACCGAAGGTAATTAGAAACTAAGTGACGAAATAAGATTATTTGATTTGTTTTGTGTCTATTGTAGATCTATTTAAAGATGATGACGAAGGTGTAGGTGGTGTGAGTGAAAGTGGTGAAAATACGGGACAAAAAATTCATTATGATGATCAAACAATCGAGAAATTATTAGATCGTTCACAAGAGGGTATTGAGGAAAAAGAAGTGGGTCTTAATGAATATTTGAGCTCGTTTAAAGTGGCGAGTTATGTGACGCGCGACACAAATGAAGATGAAGAAGATGAACAAGAAATGTTCCAACGTCAACAACAATTACAACAGCAAATACAGGCATCAATGGATGAAAATCAGGATTCAACTTTCTGGGAAAAATTGTTGCGTGCACATTATGAACAAGATCGTGAAAATGAAACTCATGCATATGGAAAGGGAAAACGTTCAAAACGTTTGGTTAATTATGCTGTGCCAACAACCGATCCTGATTGGAATGAACCGAATTCAGATCAAGCGTCAGATTATGATGCACCATCGGCGGGTGGTGAGGAAGAAGATGTTGACTTTGACGAAACACCCGATCGTAAACGAAAAACGGGTCGTGATCGTCCATTACCACCATTGCTAAATAAAATGGGTGCAAATATTGAAGTACTCGGCTTTAATCCAAGACAGAGGAAAGCATTTTTGAATGCCATCATGCGATTTGGTATACCACCACCGGATGCATTTAAGTCCCAATGGCTTGTAAGAGACTTACGTTGTAAATCAGAAAAAGAATTTCGTGCCTATGTATCGCTGTTTATGAAACATTTGTGTGAAAGTGTACCAGATAATACAGACACATTCAGTGATGGTGTACCAAGAGAAGGTCTGTCAAGACATCATGTTTTATCAAGAATTGGCATTATGTCATTGATGAGAAAAAAGGTCAGTAAAGTGGTGTCCTTGTTGATGATCTACAACGTTTGTTATTTAGGTTCAAGAATTTGAATGTGTTAATGGCATATGGTCCATGCCTGAATTGGCACCATCCGATAGTTCAGCTGATTTAATGGATGAATTTTCATCACCAGCGCAAGTCAATGGTACGAAATCGTCATCTAAACAGTTGAATAAAACAGAGAGTTCAACAAGCCTCTCATCGATGGTACAAACGAATGATAGTACAACAAATTTACAAGCGTTGGAATCAAATGAACAGACGACAACAGGAGGAACAGCAATAACAACAACAAATGATAACACAAATGGAGGAGGAAATTTAATTGGTGAATCGATGAGTTTGAGTGATTTGATAATGAAACGAAGTGATGAATCGAAAGATGAGAAAGAAATAACCGAAACATCCGATGATGTTGATGATGAAAAAAAGAACACAACAGATAAACAGTCAGGTAAGTCAAAATTTGACTCTTGGATAATCAGAATAGAGAACTGTTCCATTATTCGTTTTAGATGAAAAACAAGTACCTGTAGCAACAGCAGCTAACTCAACAACTAGTCGCAACAAATCTGCTCAATCAAATCGTAATGAAAAATTAAAGGATTATAAATTTATGTTTAATATTGCTGATGGGGGTTTTACCGAGTTACATTCATTATGGTTAAATGAACAACGTGCATTGGTAAATAATCATGAACATGAAATATGGCATCGTCGACATGATTATTGGTTATTGGCTGGCGTTGTTACACATGGATATGGTCGATGGCAAGATATACAAACAGATATGAAATATTCGATAATTAATGAACCATTTAAAATGGAAATGGGCAAAGGAAATTTTTTGGAAATGAAAAATAAATTTTTAGCTAGACGATTTAAATTATTAGAACAAGCATTAGTGATCGAAGAACAATTACGTCGTGCAGCATTTCTTGGTTTAGCAATGGAACAAACAAATCCGGCATTGACATTATCACAACGTTTTAGCGAAGTAGAATGTTTAGCTGAATGTCATCAACATTTAAGTAAAGAATCTTTAGCTGGAAATAAACCAGCCAATGCCGTATTAAATAAAGGTAGAGTATTAAGGTGTAGAAACTAAATATGAAGAATCAACTCTTTCTTTTCAATCTTTTTTTTAGTGTTGACTCAACTTGAAGAATTATTAAGTGATATGAAACAAGAAATAAATAAATTACCAGCAACATTGTCACGATTGCCGCCCGTTTCACAACGTTTGAACATGTCCGAGCGTGTAATACTATCACGTTTACCAAACGGACAACAAAATCAGTCCACACCTGCAATTAATAATTATCCATATTCGAATTATTCAAATTGTATTGGTCCATTTGCATTACCAGCACTTACCAATAACAAAACAGGATGTAAGTATGACAAATTATTTTCGATTGTGTTGTAGAACTCTTGGTCTATTATTACGAGTTTATACTCTGAAATCACGGGATTTCACGAACCGAATTCTCTTTCTTTCCTATTACTGTTCTTTCTTTTCTGTTAGTCTCTCTCACATTTAAATTTATGTTGTGTACATGCACGTACATGTTTTCAAATACTATGATACAAGAGACTTCTGAGAAAATGAAACGATAGATAAAAATCTCAGTTTACATTTTCAGTGTAATCAGTCCAAAAAGAGCCAAACATGAAGAGGGAAGATCTATTTGATTTTTTTTCCCTTTAGCTGGATCAACTACTGCCGTGATATCTTCGTCACCCTCATTGAATGTCCCAATTACATCATCGTCGACAATTACGTCATCTGTTAGCTCACCATCAACAACAACAACAACAACAACAGCAACAACCATAACACCATCCGCTTCTCGTGGCATAAAATCGAATGCATCAAACACAACAGGTATTTGTTTCTAAAGATTATTTCCCATATATCACAGTATATTTATGTTTATAGAGCTATAAATATGTTTTAATAATTTCTTAATAGTTCTTTAGGTGTCGTACACGATTTATCATTAAAAACTGAAAAGAAGGGCGATGTGGTCATTATTGATTGATTAATTTCGTCCTACAAGTTTACAATGAACTCTTTCAGTTGTTAGTCTCTATTTTCTTTCGTTTATGTGGTTTAATTTTTTAAATGTTGTTACAAAAATTAAACAGCGACACTCATTCACATCCCAAAGCTTTTCTTTGGTTGAATTATTTTGAGCAGCGCTTTTTTTCTTGTTTATCTGGGCAAGTTTGTATAGTTTTTTTTCTCTCCCATTAGTTTGTTCTCCTTTTTGGTGTGAATATGATATCTGTTTATCTCTTTCTCTCTCTCTCTCTTTCTCTCTCTCTCTCTCTCTCCCTCTCTCTCTCTCTCTTTCTCAATTAGCTTTTCTCAGTAGTTGTTGTTCATTGTGTTGTTTTCTTTTTTGTTCACTAATTTTTGTTTTTGTTCTGCAATGAAGACAACAACACGAAATAACCATATGTAAAAAAGCGAGCTGTGTAATAATATTATGTTGTAACTTATCTTAAAATATATAGATGAAATGAAAAATAATCAGTGCCATATCTGATATGGTATAGATGTACCTCATAGAATATGTTCAAGATGAATTATAATATATTGGCGTCTAAATGTCGTATTTAAATAGGTTTCATATACTAATTCGATGAAAAAATACGTACAATATTTGTGCGTATCTATTTATTATACGCGGATGTTTTAATGAATATATGAAACAAAAGAATCAAGACAAATTATGCTTAATAAATGCCGTTCGAGTTACTGTGCATATTAAAATCTACTAATAAGGCTGAAGAGAATTATATGTCAGCAAATGCAGTTAAATAGTATACAAAAGGTTGCTTCATTTATCGTTTGATTAATAAATCATTGAAAATGGAATGTACAGAAGGATTATTTACATTAAGATTTTCCATTTATACAGATGATCAAATAGATGATCAGCATATGAATAGATCTATATCCTCACAAGATCTGAAGTAATTAGCTGTCATAGCTCTTGAAATTTAGAGGTGACTTTAGGTTGGTCAGGACTGAGGGTGTTCGCTTCTCGGTTCTCACGAAGAACCGAAACCGCGGTTATCTTATTTCCGGTTCTTTATCGGGAACCGAAACCGTGGTTTTTTCGACGGCTCGTTTTATTCGGAACTGAGACTTTTTGACTTGCCTTTCTTTAAACAAAATGAAAATACACTACTGACAAAGCTACGAAAAGATATATTTGCCTGTCATCATTTAAAAGAATCCTTTTGTTTACTATAAAATAAATTCTATTTCATTGAATTGTTACTGCCTGAAAAATTATTTTTTGGTTCTAACCTGAGAACCGAGAACCATAGTACAGTTCCGCATGAGGAACCGGAACCGCCATTTCGGTTCCAGAACCGAGAACCAAACATCCCTAGTCAATACTATATACATAGTTGGCTATTATCATGCTATGGCGGATGGAAAATAGAGTTCCAGACAATAATCAGTAGCAGAAATATAGAATCTTGTAGTTTTATTGTGAATGTGTTTTTTAAATGAATTAGTAATCGTTTGTCGTACTGCAAAAATTACTATTCATTCAAAAATAACACGCAAGATAGAAATGACATTACAACAATAAACATTTCAAAACTGAGCAGTTGAAATAGTTTTCTCAGTAAAATTTTTATGTTGTTTAACCATGTTTTGATATCGAATATTCAAATCTCCTTCTATCACAAGAACATAATTTTGCTGCATGTAGTGATAATGGTCTTATTTGAAGATGATACTTATGTACACGTTGTTTTAGAACCGTGGCAATTGTTTTTTAGTAGTTTTCTTAGCTCAAGATAAAGAAAAATTTTACTAACTTCGTCTCGTCATTACTACAATGCTGTCTGGTTAAAGTTTGCAGAGAATCACTATGGAGACCTATACGAATTGAGAAAATTTAATCTGAGTCTTTCTAGTCAGAAAATTGGAACTAAACATGATGTAAAAAAAGACATTTGAGAAATTCTCTCTATTGTTGTTGAGCCCGATCGGATAAAATTTAAGGAGAATGAAAATCTGGGTTAATGAAGAGCATCGATGTTTTGAGTAAAACAGACGTTATAATATAGATGACGCTTTCTTCAGAGATTTTGGGAACAAACATATATCATGAGTGTAATAAGAATCTTATTTAAATATTTTGCTGTTTAGTACAGATAACATATAACAAATGGATACTAGATTTATCAAATTCGACGATTCGACTCTGCTTCTTTTTCAACGGCTAAGAGGAAAGATCTCTAACGTGAGAAACCCACACAATTTTGATCTGTTTAGTATGTGTTAAATATTTAGCTAGACCACAAACAGCAGAATATAAAGAAAGCTATATACGAAACCAATTACGAGAACATCATTAACATTTTGTGTTTTCTCGCGTTTTTGTTGTTTCTACTTTTTGTTTGACACATTTAGTTTTATTATTTCAGTTTCACGCTTTTATTATTTCCTACTTTCGTTACATTATATCATCATCCCAAAATCCCTGAAAAGTCATCTCCTCATACCGGTGACAAACCGGTATCGGACCGACATACCAGTCTGGTTCCAACTGTGACATTTATTATTCAATCGTAAATATCTTTTTTCAATAATGAGTATTATTTCGGAACAGATTTCAGATGAACTATAAATGCAATGTGTCACGAAGGTTTCTGTACTAATTCACGGAAAAACAAGCAGTCTGACATAGTGAACAATTAATTTGGTTGTGATTTTGTTTATTTAACAGATCTTTTTTTTGCTATATAATAACTAATAAAAACGGAAAAAAATTGGATAATAGACATGAATTTTGTGCATATTCTTTATTTTCTTTATACACAATGTAGTAGATAGAGAAAAGTGCACAGTTGTAACACTGAGACATCTCAGCTCATGTAAAAAACGCTTAAGATAAAATGCATAATAAAAAAAAAGAGAACTTTTTTCTTTTTTTTCTCTTTGCATACACAGATATACATCTAGTTAGAGTATAGATTACTCATATTAGTATTCGAGTATAAAGAATAGTGTAGATATTACATATGTACATCAAGACATGTGATAAAATAACAAAAAAACGTAGGAGGAAGAGTGCATAATGAAGTCGTCGTTGCTTGATGTTACTATCGTCGCAAAATCTGGGAGTATTTTCATAACGTTTGATAAAAAGAAGGCAAAATAAATCAGAATATCTATAAGATAGAACTTCTGTGGTTTTTTGGAACTGTTCTATTAGAGATTATAATAATATAATTGACAACAGGAACAAAAAAAACGATTAGAAAAGAAAAACGTTGATATTCCGTTTTTTTTGGAGAGGGGCAATACTTGTCAATATTATCAGTAGCCGTACAACTTGCAAAATAATCATCGGTACATTTTTGATTATTTTCAACACAAAAAAAGAACAAAATGAACGTCATTCTAACTGTCTTGTTACTTGCCATTGGCATGAACGTTCAAACATGGGCAGTTTCTGTCGTACCAACAAAACCAATAGTATGCGGACAATGTGATCCAAACAAATGTTCAATGGTGAGTATTCTTTCAAGACATCATGGTATGATATTTCAAATTCAAAAAGACATTTAGTTGACGTGTAAAAAACGGATTGCTTTTTTCTACATAAAATGTTCAAATGCTGAAAAATTGAGATGAGAAATGTATACTTCTGATGGAATAATTTGAAAGCATTACAAGCCAACCTAAAAAAGAGGGTTTTTGATCAAGCCAAAAGAAAATCTGTGAATCATATATCTCATTTATAGACATTAGATAAAGAATGTTTGGCTGGTTTATCATTAGATGTTTGCGGTTGCTGTCAAGTTTGTGCTCAACGGGAGGTAAAGTCTATCTTATATGTATAGTAGTATTCTTTTTGTTATTCTAATTTATTCTGTTTACATAATGTAGCGTGAATTGTGTGATCATCCAGGTAAAACTTTTTATTGTTAATGGCTAGATGGTCGTTGATGCACATTTAGCTTGAGATTTTAGATGTTTCATCAGCAAAAAAGTACGGTTCATGTGGTGAAAATCTTGAATGCAGGTAATATTGTGTTGCTATCCGATCATTATTCTTTCAGTATTAGATTAGATGTAGTGGTTGTTGTTCCGTAGAATTCGTTCAGGAACAAAAACACATCAAGAAGCATCGTGCGAATGCACTGATCAAATAGAATTATGTGGTTCCGATGGTAAAACATATCGAAACTATTGCCATTTAATGGAGTCGGCAAAACTAGCCAAAGCTGAACAAAAATCAATTATTAAAGTTTCTAAACGAAAACCATGCGATTCACGTAAGTAATGGAAGTTGAAATTGACAGATGTCAAAATGCTTCAATTGATTTAGCACCTGAAATTACCGTGCCACCGGTAAATGTTGTTAATCAAACAGGTAGCAACGTGTTTTTATCATGTGAAGTTGCTGGTGTACCGTTACCAGTTGTAGAGTGGATCTATCAAGCAACAAATGGAAAAACGATTGTTTATCCAAGTAAGATTTGAGATCAGGAGGAAGTAACTATGTTATTCTAGATAATGAGACTCAAAAACATTTTCTTCCTATCATTCTTTCTTTTTCATCAAATTAATGCAATTTTTATTGAGAAACATTAGAACGGACAGTTGTCTTCTATATAGAGCATAGTTTTTTGACAGTTGGTGGCTCATATGATTTTATTCAGATAGAGTAGTGCATAAATTACACTTTTTAATGACTTGTTTAGCCGATGACGATCGCATATCGACACTTGTTCGAGGTGGTCCAAATGCTCATGTTTTAACTTCGTGGCTCCAGATTCAAGCTCTTCAAAGCACGGATCAAGGAGTTTATACTTGCATAGCAACAAATGCTTTAGGAAAATCAGAAAAAACAGCATATGTAAAAGTTGAAAGTAAGTCTAATTGAATCTATCATTTGAATGTCATTTTCATAACTGTATTACTACTTTAGGTCGTCATGATTTGTGAATGCATTAACTTAACATTGAACAACCGATCGTTGTTTTTTTACTGGTTTATACACAACTTGCATTCAATTTTATTCGTTTTTCTGTCTCGGTTTTCTCTACTTGTAATAATTTACGATATCATAAAATATTGATTTTATCGTGCTTTTAATGTCACAAGTGTATTAAATTATGATTTACTAAGACATATTTTATCATTTAAGACTGTACAGGGTACATCGAATCATTTCATGAAAATATGAATACCAGTTTGTACCTTCGCTAGCAAGAACATTAGCTCTATTTATCAACATCTGATCTTCTCTCTCATCTTTCCTCTGTATGCGTGTACAGGCTTAAGTGTATAATCTCCTCCATTTTCGACCAAAAAATTGAAAAATTTTCTTACTGATTCTTATAGATTAGACCGTTTTCTATCTGGTAGATGTCAAGATTTATTATAGATGGGGACTTTATAACTCTTCGCTTCGTAGTTGGAAGCTACGAAGGTTAACCTGGAAGTGATCGGAATAGTAGGTTAAAATATTTAAATTTTAATTTGTGAAGTTTTATTCAAAACCGTATCGTGTTGGCCGCAAAAGTGTCAAAATGTCTGTGATTGTTTTGTTTTATCCTTTAACTAAGCAAACGTTATCAGTTTTGCATTTTGCAATACTTTTGAATTAAACAGTATTCCCTGAAGGGAAATGTGCACTTAACTCTACAAAATAAAGACATCACTAGTATTCAAAGAAGATCCGCATCAGGAACCGTTATGGACGCCTGTATCATGAGCGTCCATAGATGGAAAGAGTTCTGGTCCCCGGGCGCCTATGGACGTTTTTATTCGCCTATGAGGGAAACGAAAACTGGTTTTTATTCTTATAGCAAAATTCGCTCATATTCTGTTTAAAGTCACGCGAAAAATTCACTCGATACCCGCAACAGCAGCTGTAGAACGAATATTCAATGCATTGGGGCTAATAGTAACTGAACGCCGATGCAAGACAAAAAGATGGGCAGTAAGGTTTATCTTATTTTATTACGAAAAAAGATTTTCGTCAAGAAACGTCCTTGGACAGAACGTTCATTCGCGCCCATGGACGCTGGAGTGAAATGTTTTTTGAGGTACCATCCATGAGCACCCGTGAACGGAAAATTTGCGTCTATAACGGCCCGTGATGCACACACATCTCACTAAGACATCTCAATCTTTTCCGATGGATCGAAACATCGAAAAATACCACTTGTGCGACGTCTCGTTAGTATGTTTCTATGCGTGATACATTCGCCATGGGTAATGATTGACCAATACACTCGCCAGACGCTAGCCCATTATACAAAGATGATTTATTGTCTGCCAGAAATCACACTTAAATCATTTAAATGTGAAATTTCGCTCAAAACTTGACGAACACATATTTTTATGTAGACGGATATGTTACGAAAGATTTAAAACATAGTTTTATTTTTAAATCTACAATCTCAAGTGCTTTCATAAAAAAGTCTTTTTTTGAATGTTTACATGTAAATAATGCAAAGTGCACTTCCTGATATTCAAAGCAGCTAAACACATTCAAGTTTTACAATAAGAATAACGGACGAAGGCTGCGATTATTTGTGATAAAAGATCTTTGTCGAATTTTTTTGTACTTCTAGCTACTGACTGTCCGTCCGATAGTGTTTGAATGGAATTGTGCAAGCTTCTCATATTGGTTAACAGTAAAGGAAACGCCGAGGATAGCTTAAGAGTGCTTAGAAAAGTTTAATTCAGTTAACATTGATACGGTTGGACAACTTCAGCGGTTAGACAACATGTAGACTATAGGAACAGTGAATTTAGTTTTGCGTTTGATTACAAATCCAAGTTCATATATCCAGGTCCGTATTGATGTGAGATTAAGGTAACAACAGTTTATTTCGAATAAACCTGTAGAGTTTTAAGTACAGTTCTGACACATGCCTTTTGTCAACTAGAAAAAGAAAAGAAAATTTGAATTAATCTAAGTTTTAAGTAGTATTTACAAATCTGTAAAAGTGCATGTAGATTTTCTGTTGAAATCTCATCTTGACTATCTTGTGCGCGTATGAGAGCTTGTTGTGTCAGAGTTTTACAGTAGTCTTTTAGTTTTAACATTTGTGTTTGTTGATGGATATATGTGAATGAAGTGTAGTGTGGAACCGTTAGTGCAGCTCGAAGTTCTTTGTTTTGTTTTGTTTGTAATGCTTTCCATATTTTTTCATCTGCTTTTAATAAAGCTGATGTATCCATAGATTCTATTTTGCGATTCGAAGATTGATTTTATGTTTTCTATAGTTTAGGTTGTAGAATTCTATAGAGGATCCGTTGATTTTCATACTTGAATTCGTCGTATCTCATTTAACATGCCCAAAGGACCTTAGAAGACGGATGTTTTTTCAGTGTGAAGAGATTTAGTTTAAACTTCCACAATAAAAAAGAAGTTTTGTTCCCGAGAACAACTGCGTAGACGCGAATAGACATACAACAGTTTCGGTTAACCGAAACCGATCATAACCGATAACAGATGTAGCAAAAAAAACTTTTTTATTTGCATATAGTACATTTTCTTCTCTAGCACAAGCAATCTTAGATGTTTCCTTCATTCTGTTTCAAGTGTATTTTCTAGAACATGTGCAAATATTAGATTAGCAAAGATTAGAACTTTCTGAAAAATTTTATATGGGCCATTCTACGCAACAGTCGTCTTTTATGGCTAGGTTTTTGAAAAGAAGTTGTTTTCATTTGGCTTTTTCTCCTATTTGTTGCAATATTTTTTAGGTTTTGAGCACATGCTTGAATACAGAAATGTTTTACGATCGCAATAATATCATTTTAATTTAACTCTCGCTCATTCTTGAGAGGGAAAATAGAATTGCGGAAACATAGTTATTTGTAAAATGCGTGATTCCGTAACGATGATATTTTAGTTATTTAAGTGTTAATTTCGGTGCTATAAAAGAACTTTTTTTTCAATCAATAGCCTATGGACTTTTCTAAAACATTGCCAGCAAAAGTTTTCACGTAAAAAATGGAGATGAGCTGCATTTTCGACAACTTTATATTGTTTTGAAATGGATGTTCCATTTTTGATGATTACGTAATGGTCGATATTTTTTTTTATAAAACTCGAACCACACTGCGGAAAAAAAAGCGCCGTTTGGTGAGGTTTAGGGCACATGGAAGTGCCCTAAGTACGCCACAGTTAACGTGAAAACAAAAAACAGGGCATATTTATGTGCCCTAAACCTCACCAAAGGGCACTTTTTCTTCGCAGTGTAGACATTCAAACTTAACTGGAATTTTAGAGATCATCGAGCACGTGATTAGACAGATTTGATAAGAATTTAAGCATCTTATCTTTTAAACTGAGAAATTACAGTCAGAAGCGGAAAAAACGCGATTCCGTTACGATTATCTTGTCCTAAATATCTTTATAAAAATATTTTCTATGTCTCAATGTATATTGTCTATTTATAATCCTTCTATAGCAAAATATCTGCCTTGACCGCGCTTATTAACAGAAGTTAGAAATTTGAATAAAATTTTAAATAGAGGTAGTATTATGCTAATCATATGTAAGTATATATGTTTTGTTTAAAATCTTAAGAAATGCAAAAGACAAGAATAAATATCACTTCCTGTTATTGAATAATGAAGAAGAAACTCAACAATAGTTAAACACATTACTAATTCACGTACAAATAAAAATCGAGAGGTTTGTTTTCTTAGAGATGATCATGATAGATGAGGAGAAAATTTCGAACTTTGAATGAATATATTTACTTCATTAACGAAAATTCATAAGATTAAGGATGGAATGATAATATTATAGCACATATGCACAACAAATTTAGAAGAGAACACATAGAATAGACATCGAAAATGTTTTTAAACCTCAGTGACTCTACTACTTGTTTAACAATTTTAGTGTAAGAGTTGACTCCAATATCATATCAATGGACTAAAATGTGTATCATGTGTCCAAAACGTATGAAACAGTAAGTAAAAGAATAAACTAATAACCTTTATTTAATAATCTTTATTTATTAATAAATAAATAAAGATTAAAAAATAACAAAAAAACTAATAATTAGTTGTTTAACTCATACAACAAAAACTACATACTGTCCTTTTAAAGTCATGGAATTTTCAAGAATTTGCATCCTCATTAATCCGCTCAACTTGTCAGTTCACTGGTACTCATTACTGGAACATTTTCTATTGCAGAGTAGCGGCTTGAAAGGAAAAAAAAGACTAGCATCCAAACAAAAGGCTATAATTCGTCTGTCAGTTTTCTAACAAAAAGATTTATCAGTGTACATCTTAGATTCTACTCTGATCTAGTTATTTAGAATAATAGGTCCACTTCTTCAGAGAAATAAACCTAAGTAAGTTAACTTTTTTTTTTCAACTGTTTGAACTGAAAAGGGCTAAAATTATTCGATTGTCGATTTTCACTATACAAACTGCAGTGACACAAAACGCCATTTTTTCTGTATGAAAAATCTGTTGCAAAAAAAAGGTGAAGTTACGTGATTCTACAATTTTAATATTTCAGTCATAAAGAACTTCAAATGTCGCAATATCAGATGTTTAGTTATTAAATAAAACCTATTTATAGCCTGAAATAAATTATGCCAGAGCATTATGAGTTTGTTATAATTTTTACTATTTATAAATTGATAAAAAAAAAGTACAGAAAGAAAATATATTAAACGGAAAAGCTTAATAATAAACACACATGATAAATGACGTGTAAGCAAATAGTGTTATCAGCACGAAGTATATTAGATAAGTTTCTTTTTAAATCATACCTGAAGAAAAATATTCCATTTGTATAAGAAATGATGAGTAAAAACCCGATATTAAATTAATTGGATGCTACTAACAGTCGTTTTTAGTGGCAGCATTTGTCTATATTTGTAGGTTTATTCATGTATGTCCAACAACGTCGTTATTTTATATTACTTTTTATTGTTCTTCTATGTGTCATCTTCATCACATTTACTTTTAAAAATACCGGCTTAAATCTACGTTTTCGTAACTATAGCGATCAAGAAATATTAGTGAATATAACCAGGACAATTATCTCGGGAGAACGAAAAGGACAAACGATCAGGGTATGTTGTCTCGTTTTAACAACACCTGATCGTTTTCTAACTAAGGCAAAAGCCGTCAACGAAACATGGGGAAAACGATGCGATGGACTCTATTTCATAACAGAACTGACGAACAATTCTTCGGCTACTTATGGTTTACCGATACCATTCATTCCAGAGATAGTCCCTGGCTATGACCATTTAACGTTGAAATCGCGATTAGGCTTTATGTACGCCTATAAACATGATTACTCAAATTATGACTGGTTTTTGAAAGCCGATGATGACACATACATTATTGTAGAAAATCTCAAAGATTTTTTGTATGATCAAAATTCTTCTGATCCCATTACATTTGGCTATCATTTTAAAGTGATTGTTAAGCAAGGTTATCATAGTGGAGGAGCATCGTATGTTCTCAGTAAAGAATCACTTAGACGATTTTATGAGGCAAACATGCAACCGAATAGTGTTTGTAGAAAAGATGGCGGATCGGAAGATGTGGAAATTGCCAATTGTTTACGATCACAAGGTGTCTACCCTGGTGTGGCATTAGACAAGTATAAGAAAGAATTGTTTCATCCACTAAGTTTTTCGGATCATTTCAATGGAAATATTCCTGACTGGCTAGTCTCCTACGCGAAGAATCCAATACAAAACGTAAGTGATCTGTTGACGCCTACTTTTCTTCAAATGATCTTGTTTTATATACTAATGATAGACTATAAAAAGTTCGTACTTTAAGAAACGCTCATGGAGTTCAAGAAATTGATACTACACCGGATGAATTAAGATTTAAAAAAATTCTCTTAAAATCTTTGAGTAAGAGTTTTGCAATTACCTAAAAAGCTAGTTAAAGTATTTAATAACTAATATTCAAAACGAAAAATTGACTGATGGAAAAGATCAATCAAACCGAACTGTTTGTATTAAAAATAGAAGAGAAATTCTAATGTTAGTAGTAAAATCGAAGTCAGTGGGTAAAATCTGAGCAAAAAGCCTTTAATTGAACTCCTAAGTTTCAACAACGGACGGAATTTTAGAGTTCTCAGAAAACTTTAAACATTTTAGAAGAAATGTCACAATTATTGTACTCTCGTAAGTTCTACATTGAAATAGTGTGCCAATCATTCTTCAGAAAAGTCATGAATTTACAAGAGCAAATTAGCGGTGTAACCAATGACTGGATTGAACTGAGCTTAGCCCAGCCACCGAACGTTTGAGCCCAGTCTAGGAAAAAATTTAAGTTTTTGAAAGAAATAGCCTTCAGTTTGTATGATTACTTTGCAAACCTTTCCTTTTGAGTAAAAGTCGTAAACGTAACGTACTTGTTGCCCATAAAACTAAAGCATCAAAGTGTTTTGTCGTAGTGTTATTTGCTATTAATCATAAAAACAGTAACATATGGCCAAAATGAGCCCGTAAGAAGGGTCTTTAAACTATAAAAATCAGATTGTCTATATAAAAAAATGGGTGCCATAAAGTTTTGGTTAATCTCTGAAGATTTTGGAATAATTACAGATGGCGCCACCATAATGACGTAACTGTAATTACTTTTCGCATAAATTGCATTAGGAATTAACCAAAACTTTGTGATAACCCTTTTTTTATATAGACAATCTAATTTTTATACTTTAAAGCTTTACTTTTACCCTTCTCATAAGGTCATTTTGGCCATACGAAAATTATATTACAGTGAACTAGCATTTTTAAAACAGTAAAAATTACGCCACTGTGGTAGTAGGCATCTCTTACATAATGAGCGAAAATATGAGTTCTACAAGGTATACCAATTTTACCTGAGTTTTGAAACGAAATCTAGACTTTTTTCTAGCTATACCACCGCTAGCGAAAATGCAAAACAATAAAAGCTTTTTAAAATACGGACATTTTTGCAGCGTAGCAAAATAGGAAGAAACTTATCTTACACAAACTGTAAGATACAAAATATTGCATTTGTCAATAGAAGAATGATTTGAGTTGCATTCAGATGTGAATACCAATAGAAATGTCTGATTTGGAATCTTGCTGATATGGCTTGCATAATACTGCATGGCTTTCTTCTTATTTAGGGCTACAATTGTTGCAGTGATAAATCAATTTCGTTTCATTATATTTCACCCGAACAAATGTATTTAATGGACTTTTTTCTATACAAAACTCACACAACATGATGAAATCTTTTTTCTCGGTCAACAATCGAATGGTGATGATTGATATTGATCAATGTCATGACAGAATAAAGCTTATATCAAGTATCACATAAATTGAACTATGAAGATATTGGTGACTGCATAGAAATATTTGAATATTTAACACATGAAGTTACATAAACTGCAGAAATATGGAAACACACTTCTTTCAAAGTTGTTATTTAAAACAGTTCTACTTCTGATGAAAATCAACATTGTTGATTTTCATAAAGATAAGTCAGCGTTTTCTTATCTAAACGAATAGTCTCGACCTAAATGTTTATAATCACATCACGCATAACTTTACCATTAGAAGGGTAGATGATGAATTGCTTGCAACTACACGTTTGAAAAAAAACGTTGTGCTACACATTTATTATAATTTAGTTCAATTGACTATGTTCAGCATCACTAGGATGGTTTATCTTGTATAATTATGAATTAACTTGTTGCGGCGTGCTTGCGTCAGTCATTGTGTTACTAAACGGCTACTATTACGTAACTTCAATCTGATTTATAGAAGGAATGTTATTTACAATAAGTGAATCCAGTAGTGTATTAGATTAGAAACGTGTTGGTCTATCAATCAGCTGTGTCAATGAATTTACAAAATCTCGCAGTTTGATACCTTCTCTTATACATGACTTTGTATGCAGACTGCACAGTTAGCGTTCAAGTCCCCAATATTATTATCAAATTAAATTAAGACTTTATGGAGATAAAGAAGATATTGTTTTACTTATATGATCCGAGATTTCAGCATTGTCTCCGAATTCTGACCTATAGCATAATATAAAAAAAATCTCTTCGCAGATATAATACTCACAATAAAAACATTAGTTCAAAATTATCACTTTTAACCAAAGACAGATACTTAATATTTATATCATTGCGCGCATACAATGCCGTGTCTGTTTCTGCCTATACGCAACGGAGGCGGATATTTTATTAGGGAAATATGACTCTCCTGGATTGTTGGAGATATCCAAGGCTCTACCACCCATATGACAGCGAAATTTGGGGCAGTGGTATAGACTCTAAGTGCATTCAATTTAGTAAAAGATGGCGATTGTTGATATTCGGCCAATCTCAGCAGCAGAATGATCAACTTCGAATCCGCATTGCGTTAAATAAAATGCTTCATATTAATCTTAACCATCAGCAATTCACAGTTAAAATATTCATTTGTCGGCTTAACCGCTCTAGGAATCATATAAAATTCTCCTACTTGGCGTTTATTGCCATTATCAATATTAATATCAGTTGCATTTTATTCAAGTCTCATTGAAACAGGTGTATCATCGACCGGCTGTTGTGACTATTGAACAGTCTTTAATAAATATCGATCTACTTCACCAGGCTGCTTCATTACCACATTGGCATCCAGCACACCACTACTAACCGCAAGTCACCATCATACTTCTCGTCGACATCCATCTCCTTCGCTATATACCCATTCTCATTATTCGGTATATATGTAGCCCGTTCTGCTGTCGCACCTTGACGGTCATCAGAAATATGTATCGTCTTTAGTAATTGTGATGATGTTCCATCTTCCAAGTTCCTCGATATTTCAAATATTTATATCAATATATGATATGACATTTCTTTGCAGATACTACATACAGGATGTTGAAATTTTCAGCTTAGCCTATTAGAAGCAACATCAGCTGATTGACATGCATCTTTAAATCCGGAATGATTTGCAATAAATCGTCATAAGGCTTTAATTTTTCATTATGCAGACTATTGTGACTGGTACGACAGTCATACTTGTTAAATCAGACATAATGAATTTTCTCTTCCTAATCAATTTATTTAAATTCAATTGTGACGTTTCGTTGATCTCACATATCACCGGATCGAAAAATTTTAAAAGCTTGTTCGGTCAAAACCGATTGCAGATTCGTCTTCTCCATGGTTGATTATGTGGTACGCGATAACTTCTGGATCGGGGTACTTTAGAAAAAATTTTCGACATCGTTTTGCCTTTGGTCCCATACGGTACCATTTTGAAAAATTTTTGAGCAAGACCATGGAAAAAAGTTTTTCTAAAGTACCCCGATCCAAAAGTTATTGCGTACCACATAATCAACCATGGAGAAGACGAATCTGCAGTCGGTTTCGACCGAACAAGCTTTTGAAATTTTTTCGATTCGGTGATATGTATCAACTTCATCAGACAAAAAGTACAAACTTTTAATTTTCTACTGCACACGACATATATATATATATATATACTTATATATGGCACAAGTCTTTGTTCTATTTCTTCTCTTTAATAGTGATACAGAAAATATAGTGATACTTGTTAAATAGGTGACACTGTTTCATACTAAACATGCAGAAAAAGTATCGATATATTATCCGAAGTAGCAGATATTTTATTTATCCTATTACATCATCGATAATAAAATCTATAAATTTTATTCGTGAGATATCTGATGTGTTCTGTTCTTCCAATATTAGCGATGTTGCCTTAGTATTCAAGAAACCTGTATGAAACGTCATTTTTGCGAGATGAATCGTCACAAATTGTATCGTCGCTAGATGGTAAAAATAAACGAAAATATAAGAAAACACAGAACGAAAGTTGAAAACATCAGTTAAATTATTGACTGGTTGTTAGTCGGACAGAGATACAGTTTTATTTTATAAGACTTTGACTAAAGTTAGAGGAATAATCACCGTTTCTTATTCTTAAGTACAATTTGTTGATTTTTTGCATTACATTAGTTTTTTTTATTGTAAATATTAAAATCGTTGCTTCAGATAATAAAAGAAGTTTAACTGAAAGACGAAACAACCGTCACCGGAGATAGATTTCGACGAAAAAGGCTTAGATATTAATATTGATATTCAAGTTTCTCAACATATCGCAATTTTATCTGGATAAATGGTTTCAGGCTGAAAAAAACCTAGTTGAAAGTTGACTTATTACCAACAAGCTAGACTTAAATGGTAAATGACGATAAAGCCGGAGTGTCATTCTGCATTTTTCTATCGAATTTTATGAAAAAAATTGTTTTTTCTTTTAGAAAATATTCAATGAAACTTATTATCAAATTCTTGTATAGAACTGCTGCACAATACATTACAGATTTTAACAAAATCTCATTAATTTATTATCGATTTCGAATTTTCGACATTATTACTAATGTCATCATCAGGAAACAAGTGTGAAAAATGAAAGATTATTCTTTCATTTTTCATACTTGTTTCCTGACGATGACATTAGTAACAATGTCGAAAACTCGATCTTTCATTTTTCACACTTGTTTCCTGATGATGACATTAGTAATAATGTCAAAAGCTCGAAATCGATAATAAATTAATGAGATTTTGTTAAAATCTATAACGTATTTCGTAGCAGTTCTATACAAAATATTCTATACAGTTATTACCAAACTCATTGAAAAGAGAATCTGTTACAGTTATCATTGTCAAAAGAACATGTAAATATATAATAATATTTAGAAGCAATGAGTCTCTTCACGGACTAATGACTGTAATGCCGTATTACTAATAACTTATATTTGGTTATCTGACAACGAACTTTATCAGTCGCAAACGTTATGCCAAGAAAAAAATTATTATATATTTATTACATACACAACAACTTGAGCATTTCTGATCGATCATGTTTGAAGGTAAGACAGACTAAGCCCCTTTGCTGAGCTACATGTACACTTCCTAGTCTGGCGGTTATTCAGTGATAGGGCAGTTCGTGCGTATGGGACTGTTTCACGAGGGAATCACTCTAGATGTCCAACCGATTTTAAGCTCGGCTTTTGGAATTAAATAGACCTTGTTGAGACTAGAAGAACCCTAGCAGGATAGCTGCCAAGATATCGATTTCTAAGTTTCATTCAAATGATGATCTCGTTTCGATGAAAAACCGATTTTTGCAACGCGATCGAGCAACGATTCGAGGGCTGAAATTTTTTCCTGGAGTATAATTAATTGGAGATTATCTATCTGAAACAAAAGTTTCATCATTGTCGATCACATCGTTACCGAAATATAGATTTTTGAAAAAACACATTTTCCCAGGTATATGCTTTCGCACCCGTAGATGTGTACACACAACCATCACAAACTAAAAGAAAGCAAATTGAACAGAGTGAAAATGCTTAGAAACGAGTCGGTGACATCAAGGAAAGTGATAATTCAGAAAGAAGTGTTCGAAGCACAGTTCTTGTTTGCACCAACTGCAATTTATGAAAGCCGATGTGTGAAATGTATAAACACATTTCTATTGTGAACACACGTTTGTCGTGAATCTGAGACAGACATCTTTGACTGTGTCAAACGTGCCTGAATAATGTTTGAGATAGCCTCCTTTTTGCGCCCCGTGTAAAAAGAAAACTACTTAACATCATTTTTTCAATGAGATGACGAGGTTGAAATAATCTGTAAAATGAGTGATCAACCTCGTAGATGAGTTAGAGAAAATATATGTGGGAAATGGAGTTTTCTTGAGAAATCTATATTTCGGCTTTGATGAATCTTTTATTTTGAGTCGATTTCAAAATAGTAAATAATCAGTTTTGTACACTGAAATATTATAAAAACCAAAAAGAATGTAAACATTTGAAATATATCATAATCTTTTGCAAAAAGCCATATAGATGTTTTATTTCACTGAATAGTACACATAAAAAAAGTCATTTTCCAAATGTTTATTTATGAAAACTAAATGGGCTTCACTCTTGTGCTTTTTAAGAGCATATTAATTTGTTATAATTTTTCTGATACCCAGCGTCTGCGAAAGTGGATACAGTTAAAGTAACATCCATAATTTTGTTTACTTACATGACATTAGATAGAACATCTGATTTTTTCCAAATTAGTATAATACTATCAGTCGCTTGGAAAAACAATAAACTAATTTAATAGCGTTTTCTCTGAGGAATTGTTTACGCTAAGTCAATAAAGATAATCATTTCTAGTCATAGTCCTTGAAAAATATTTCAAAACTAGACAAAAAATCAGATGAGACTACGATTTGAGAATATAGTGAAACTTTTGATACACAGTTAACTATGCAGAAAAATTTAGAGTTTTTTAATTCTTTAGTCATAGAGAACCAAAGGTAACTTTTTGAGAAAATATTCTTTTGTTTTAGAGAATCCTTATTTTTGGCATAAATGTGTCTTTGACGATATTATCGATCGATTTAAACGACTTTTTCAATTTCCATAATCAAACATTTTTTTTTGAAAATTTTCTTACCTTCATCTCTCTCGCTACACATGATACTTCGAAGGATCACTATTCACAGCATCTGATGCACCTGAACGTCACAGTGTAATCAATTGTCGACTAAATACTCGTTAATAAACCCATCCATCTAATATCTGTGAAATGGACATTTTCAATTTTCAATTTTTGTGTAGGATTGATTTTGTGTAGGATTGATTTTGTGTAGGATTGATTTTGTGTAGGATTGATTTTGTGTTTTGATAGTTTAAGTTTCAGAATGATATAATGGGAATTTATATTCTCGATTTCGTTCTGGTTCAAGATTAAAGCTTAAATCATGTTTTAATCGTTTTCAGACATTTTTACTAACTAAAAGTAGCAGGTTTTTTTTACGATCAAATGTGGAGATCTTTTTATGCCCGTAGTAAAGCCATTACTGCACTATTATGATACGTCAACCATCTATGTTTTGAACATTCTGCAGTCAGTTTCTTACTAATTGAAAGCCTCATAAAGACCAGCGTTTTCGATCTAACTTTGGCAAGGTAGGGAAAGTTTTATGAACCAACTCTAAAAATTTAGCTGATAACCAAAAAACAGGGTTTTTAACTTTTCGAAGTAATTTCCTTTTTAGTAGGAGTAAATTTTTTAAAATGAACGGAGTAACTGTTTCAAACAAGTTGGGGAGTTTCCTCGCCTAATCAAAATCGCTGATAAAGACTGGATTTCTCTCTTCAAAAGAATCACGGTCAAATTTATGTTAGTCATGATAGTGTAACAAAAAGGTGAATATTTTGTTGACCTGACATCGTCGATTACTTTCAAGAAATATCAAATTGTGATCAAATTTCTTATTTTTTCAAAAAATATGGTTATAAACCAGCAAATACATTAAAAATTAAGCATCAAAAGACCTAAGCATTTAAAGAGTTAACGCTCAGCGTTAACTCTCGTTAAAGGTGTAAAAGAAAATCAATACAAAAAATAATTGATAGTTAAACTATTCCTAACTGACAGTATGTCATTTAACTGCCAGCAGTTAGTAATCAAAAAAAAAAAGCAAAAAAACAAAAATGAAAATAAAAAACAGAGATAGATTCGATTATAATAATAATTGGCTATGTATCTAGTATAGATACGGACTTAATACAAAATTCTTGAATGTAAAACCAGCATTTAGTTATACATAGACTTTACCAGAAAGCCTACAAAAAACAAAAAAAGCGTTAATTAACTTTAAACAAACAAAATAAAATGATCTATAGAATGAAAATGAAAAAGTAAATTAAATAAATTTGTTATGAATATTGGTAATAACACTTGATAATTTATTGCTCCATTCCTTTAGTAGTCTTGATAAAAGAACACTCTTTACACTATGTCGTGTTGATGGTGAACGATCTAATGGATTTTGAAAAAAATATATTTCTTTATGTTTATTTGGTGTCCAATCAGCTGAATATGCATGCAGAATATTTCGAATTTTACATATAATATCATTTTTTAAATGTTTCTGAATTTCTTGAAATAATTTATTTACTGGATAATATCCAGTTGTATCATCGAACTTTAATAATGTATCAATAGTATTATAAAATAGTAGCATTGTATTATGAACATCAGTGCTCATATGAATAAGAAAGTCCTTAAAAAAAATGACATTGCTATTATTTAAAGTAAAACCAAAAAAAAACAAAAACCTATTCAATTTCGATAGATTCACCTGAATGTTGATGAAATGCTCGTTATCATGACAGAAACTTTTGTGAAAAATTTTAACTATTGCTGAAAATAGTATCATCCTATTGAGTACATATTTTTTACTCTTACATTTTGAAATATAAATAATGTAGTTTTAAATCTGATGATAACTAGTTAGATCTATCTGGTTAAAAATATATGAATCGATACACTTACTTTTTTTATATTATTTAATTTAAAAAAATTCGCATGCCATTTAGCTTTTGGTATTTGATTTTGTTCAATCAGATAAAATTCTTCGGCATTGATAAGCCGTGAAAGTGTTCCACTTGTTCTCGTATGATTGAACTATATGTAAAAAAATATAGAATAAATCATAAATTTAATATATTATTAGTTTTATGATTACTAACCACATAATTTTCAATTGTTCTTGCTATTTGATTTATTTCCATGGAAATATTTTGAATTTTGTTAAATTCATTTTTAACACATAATATGTCGATAATATCACAAAGGTTATCCGAATTTGCTACTTGTTTTAGAATTGGTGTAGTGTCTGATAAATTGAGCATGACCAATAATAATATACAAGTAAAAAATAAATTAGTGAAAAAGGATACTAGAAAAAAACAAAAATTAAAATGAAATAATTTTTAGTAGATAATTAGATAATTAAATATTACATACTCGTTGTTTTAATTGGAGACATTTGAATGTAGAAAAATAGAAAATAATTTAATGTAAAAGTAATGAATAATTAAAATAAAATTGACTATTGTCGAGGCGATCAACGCCCTTTATATAAAAAATAAGTCTTAATTACTAAAATAGAAGAATGAACTCTACAACGTTCAGGTCACATATATATATATATATATATCTTGGATAAATCCTAATATATATTGTAGCGAGAGATTTTTTAAGTGCTATTTGATGCTGACGTTATTGAAATAAAACATCTGCTCTATGATTTTTGTTAGAGTATTACGCCTTACAAGATAAATTTAATAAAACTGTCTTTTTCTCTAACATAAATCTTTTTATCCCTATTTATCCGTTGACTCATAATGTCATAAATCGTTCAAAAATATCAATATAAACTTAACGGTGCCCACTTGTATATGCTGTTATTTCTATCTTTTTTTCTTCCTCTGATTCCACATTACGCCCTGTCTTGTGCAGGAGTATTGAATTTCCTCAACTATCAGCATGTGATGATATGTACGCACAGTTATTGATAAAGATCACACGGATATTTATTTTTCCTAACCTTTTTCTTACTATTATACTTTTAAATAATAGATCATTTGTAGACGAAAGGGTTAATGATGTAACTGAAAATAGACACACCTTTATAATATTCAAAAAAGGAATATACAATCTGGAAGCAACGACGAAGATCTCATACGGGAGTATTGAGTTTTCTCAGCATGTGATGATATGTAAGCACATTTATTGATAAAGATCACACGGATATTCTTCGTCTTTTCCTAACCTTTTTCTTACTATTACACTTTTAAATAATAGATCATTTGTAGACCAAAGGTTTAATAATGTGAATAAAAATATTCAAAAAAGGAATAGACATTCTAGAAGCAACGGAGGAGATGTCTAGCATCCTTATTTTCTTCACTACAACAAATGAAGGCTGGGTAACTAACTCGATGGAGATTCGAGAGAGCAGCTTTGACAAGTCTTTGTATTTGCAGGAATTGTCACTGTAATAAAAGAACCGTAAGCTTAAGAAGACACAAGTAGTTAACTATTGTGGTTCTTAAGATCCAAGAATGATTGTTTATGGAGCATTGTATGTAAGATGAATGAAAAGAATAAAACAAAAAAACTTTTGAATAGTTTATCATAGTACTTCGCTTGTATCTTGATGCAGATAAATTTGTTTTAAAAAATTTGATGTAACCAGTTATGCAGCTCGTATTTTCAGCTTTTTTTTAGAAGCTGCATGATTTTCAGCTGTTTTTTTAAGGACAACTATCATCACTGAAAATATCGGGCCAGGGCATATTTGATATGTTGTCTATTCCCTGTGCGGACCAGATATAGTTTTACTTAGTTTATATCACATTAATATCGTTTCTTTGATTTTAGTCTAGAATGTCTTGTCTGCTGGAATTTCTTCGCTATACTCGTTGTCATTCTAATATACATAATATTTTAATTCTCCTGCTTCTTCTCATTTCGACTCACCTCAAATAACCTTAATTTTTTTCTTTTAGATTATATTATTTTTAGACGCATTTTTCGTCTTTGTATGTACTGATACTATAGATTATTTGATAGTATTTATCGTATTTTTCTTATAGGAAATGACACTCTTTGCGTGGTTTTTTTTTGCTATACAAGACATGAAGCAATAAATAGTTTTATTTTTTGACGTGATAAAAAATTGGAGTGTATATAGTTTTCTATTTGTAACTTATTTGACTAGTTTTAGAAAAAACTAGGGATTATTTTTATTATGACTTAAATATCACAATCTTGAATGGCGATGCCTCTTAACAATCTCTTTTTTGTGTTCTTCTGGATATATTAATCATTTAATCGGATACTTCTCATTCCATTTCAACTTCAAAAGGGTTATCACACTTGCACTAGCCTTTAGTAAATATCTAAATCAAACGTAATTCTCAAACCAAAATCGTTCACAGCAATATATTTATTTTAAAGTGTCATCAACTAAATTTGCTCACGAGGGAATCTCTTGAGGTTATAAATCACTTTTGAGCTTAGACTACTTTTATCTTGTAGATCTCATGAGGAAAGTACCCCAACTATTTAAACGCTTTTGGCCTGAAGCTTAGTGAACAATCGAGTGTGCTGAATCCGAATATCACATTGGTTTGGGCCCAATTTTAGTTTAGAGATTTGGTTTTTCAACGACCCGCTTTTCAAGCTGGAAAACTTTTCGAAACAAAAAATGTTTTTGATCCAGCCATATGAAAGAGCTCATCGTCAAACCTAAGCAAAACCATTTTTTTAGGTTTTAGAAGAGGTTTTAAGCGAATTTTAAACGTGCAAAATTTTCTGCTGCAGTTTTAAGTTTTGCACGTTTAACCTCTTGAATGTCGTTATTTTTCCTCTTCCGCGTCTATTAAAGGCATGCATATGTAAAAAACGATTAAATATCTCTTTTTGCGTTCTCTTGTTTTCGTCCCATGTGTTCGTCTGGCACTTTTTTTTCGTTAAAACGATAGAACGAAAAAGCATATGCAACATATAAAATTTTCTTCATGTCACCTATAGATGCCTTACGGCATTCAAGAGGTTAAAATCCGCTTAAAACCTCTTCTAAAACCTAAAAAAAATGGTTTTGCTTAGGTTTGACGATGAGCTCTTTCATATGGCTGGATCAAAATCCAGTATCTCAGCAACAAAGCACCATGGGCCCAAACCAATGTGATATTCGGATTCAGCACACTCGATTACCTATTGTCCACTAAGCTTCAGGCCAAAAGCGTTTAAACAGTTGGGGTACTTCCCTCGTCACTGTGTAGTACCCTAAGTTGGTTTGTGCCCATGGTGCTTTGTTGCTGAGATACTGGATTTTTAGTCAGTTTTGGCCTATAGAGCTTGGATTTCGAGCAAAATCTGACTTTCGAATTTTGATTTCAAACTTGTTACACTTGTAGCCCATGGTCATAGTAGTACGACGCAAAAATATTCGATGCTAATGAATTTTCCTGCCTTGAGATATTGAGACTCGAATATTTGACCCTCACCCTTACCTTCTGGTGAAATATTCGAGTCATAGTAAGGAAGATACAATTTCAGTATCATTTTATTTACATCTCTTTTCATAAATGTTGTGAACTTTTGATTAATCTAAAATGAAAAATAGAAATAAAAATTGGTTTTCATATACACATTCGATGTACAGATGAATTTTTTACTAAAAAACTGTTTGGAGTGTAGTATTTTCGTATAACATGGTGGTCATGAAATGGAAGACTAACTCCTGAAAAAAGCAGAAATAACTGTTTTGGTAAAAAACAGAGCCAACAATTTTGGTACAATTATACTTTCGTCTTATCCATTTGTATGAAAGATCAATTATTCATAAAGAAAACTTAAAATATGGTTAGTTAAGATTTTCTGGTGTTTTACATTGAGAATAATTATGTTTAAATTGTTGATTTTGTAACTGTTTCTTCCATAACTTAGCCTTAGTCCAATCCTATAAAATTATCTTTAATTGACTATTTTTCTACAATAGAAAATAAAACAGAATATAATCTAAAAAATTTGCTATTGGTTTTTATATTCTCAGTTAAATATAGTAAAAAACATTCATTTATTATGTACTAAACACCATCATATTTTAAACACATTTCTAGCCTAGAATTATGCGTATATTTCCCAGTTATAACAAATTAGGTGTGAGTCGATTGATCCTCAGAGAAAAGGAAAACATTCTCGCCTACGCACATGAAAAACAGAATGTAAATATATACAAGTTCATACTCATTATATATATATATATTTGGATGTAATCAAAACTCCATGTCAACCAAAACTAAAATTAATGAACAAAAAAAAGGCGAAGTTCTATATGAGTGAAAATATACACTTCAGTAGATTTCTAGAACATTTTTGTTTTGTTTTTGATAACAAACCCTAGACGTTTATATTCAATAGCAAACCAAAAAATCATTGTTATAAAGTTCATACAAAGAAACGTGTAGGGTATGTGAAACAATGCGAAACTTCACTACTATATAATACAAAGAGAAATATTTCTGAGCTACATAATTAATAGTCTTGACTATAAATGAGACAGGGGTAACTTTTATTAGTTGTAATTAGCCAAGATGAGAGAATGTGAAAACACTTGTAGATCGATGTTTCTTATATGTTCTAAATCTCAACAGCTATTGATATTAATATTAATTCCCGTCTCGAGTTTGTCTTTCCTAATCTACTACAATGTAATATACTGATCAGCACAACGTCTCCTGTAATATTTTAACTGTACATGAAAACTCACAATTCTTTTTCGTTTTTCGTATAAAGTGGAAGTTATCAGTTTAAATCACCTTTAGATTTTGGATTTTTATATTCAACCGCGATAGATAAAAGAAATTCGAAAGGGCTTTGAGTAGCTGAAAGAATTATCAATTACAAAACACATTGAATATGGTGGAAATCCTATTTCTAGATTCAAATCTGTTGTAAACAACGTAATCAAACACTTTTTAACGAAATGAGACGTTTTCGAGTTGTTCATGCTATTTTTTGTCCAATTGCATCCAGTTTACAAGACGATTCTAACAATATTTTCCACTGTTTTTAAAAGTCTGAGTACGTCAGCAGACTGAGTGCAATTTGACAAAAAATAGCATGAACAACTCGAAAATGTCTCATTTCGTTAAAAAGTGTTTGATTACGTTGTTTACAACAGATTTGAATCTAAAAATCGGGTTTCCAGCATATTCAATGTGTTTTGTAATTGATAATTCTTTCAGCTACTCATAGCCCTTTCGATTTTTTTCTGTCTAACGCGGCTGAATAAAAAAAGCCAAAATTAAAAGGTGTCTTGAACCTTTACTTCAGGTCATGCACGAGACACCAGAAAGTCCCATACTTTTTTCTTCACAAATACTCTTTTGCACTCACTGAAATATACAAATTATTTATAATATTATTTGCTCTTCTAGATGCCATCATCATTCCCAATATCAATAATTCTTTTGTTATTTGTCTTACTAAATGGTTACCGATTTGCTTCAGTTCTGTATAATGATCGATCAATATCATCATCACATTATCCATTCGCGTTTTTATTACAATATCCTTCACGTGTGAATGCTCAACCGTTGTTAATACCTATTGAACTCAATAATCAACAACATGATAATCTATTATCCGAGCATACAATATCAACTCGTGCTGCTTTTGATCCTACATTGACATTGAATACTAAAATTAGACCAAGATCAAGTAGAAATTCATGGTTTCTTGGTTCAACATATCGTAAACTTGTACCGGTTAATGATCCGGCTGAGTATAATGATGCAAAGTATGGATGGCGATGGGGTTAAAATTGTGTAGTAAGAACGATTCACGATAAGTTATTATTTATTATTTTCCGCTTGTTTTTGCTTTCTCAATAAAAACATGTTGAATAAAAAGATACATCTATAAATCGAATAAATCGCAATGACGCTTTCCTATTTCAATTTTATTTTTTTTCATTGTCTTATAACTTTATTGATTTAAACAGTGCTAACATCCAGGAGGAGAAAAAAAATAAATTTCAGTAAATAGTTGTTTAAATTGATTGATAAAAGAATGTAATAAAGTCTTAATTATATTAATTCTCAATATGCGGTAAAACTATCTTTTTTTTTTAGCTGAAGTAGTGAATTATTAATTACGACATGTATTTTAGACTGAAAATGAAATTTTATTCTCGTGTTTGTAAGGGTTCGTGCTATTCTTATAATCAAAGGTTTTTTTCCATTCAAAATTGAATCGACCAAACGATAAAACGAGAGGTCACGTAGTACTTAGATTCAAGCGCACTAAACTGACAGATTATCCTTCGATACACTTATTAAAACGGTTAAATGCAAAGGAATTCAGAGAAAAGATCATAAACAAGGGAACTATATCGTCTTCTAGTCTTTTATTTGCTCAAGAATTATTGATCACCGAAGAAAATAATTCTGTGGCTATAAAACATAATGCCGAGAAAGAAGCGGCATTTGTATTCCACATTTGTATCTATCCACAAATAAAGTGAAATCAACGTCAAATTTGTTATCAAAGCGTTCCAATACCATTTGTTGGTTATCGATGCCGATACCATGGTTAAAACGCATTTATTACACACAAGCAAATGATATTGTTATGAACATACATGAAAGATACGTGGTCTGATGGAAGCTGATGATACAAAAGATATTGGTATTAATAATAACTGCGAGTGTAAGGTGCGCCCAATGCAAAATTAAAGCAAAATTTTATTTTTCGACTTGAGTTTATTTCGAAGCTTAAATGAATTTAAAGCTGATTAAGAAAATGAATTTTTTAATTTTTAAAAAGTTTTTTTGAGGGTGGAAAATTGAAAATATCTGAGTTGTAGACAACTATACAAATTTCAAAATATCTTTTTCTTATTTACCATTGAAAACTGAATAGAAAAATGGTGTTTGATCAATTTCGAAGTTATAACTTCGAAATTGATCAAACACCATTTTTCTATTCAGTTTTCAATAATAAGACAAGCTGAATTAGTTGCTGCGTCGTCAACAATTAAAAACAATAGATGTCCATGTATCGATCGGTCGATAACAGTATTGTTCGTGAAGATGTGAGTACATAACAAAGTACATCGTCAAGTCTGTCTAATAATTATAAGCCTGGTAATCAAACATCACAGTGTCGATAGTCAAAAACCTCAAACACGACTAATTGTCCGTTAAATCGAAATCTTAGACTTTTTTTTGTCGTTTAATTTAGAGGCTGATTTCATCAATATTCTTGAGTTAACGAACTTTTACTCTATGTTTATGCCATTGAAAGAATAAACAAGATTTCTAAGGTTAAATACATGGAATGATGAACGACTTTAATCCCCAAAGAAGTCCTGGTGTTAACTTGCGTTGTGTCACAATTATATGTTTATATGAGATGGATATTTTATTATTCTAGTATCAGTCAATATTGCTAGAGAAAAAACAACAACAGAATAGTACATATTATGCAGTAAACGTCTCTTATGCATGCGCGCAAAAACCAAACAAATATCCATAAGAAGAAAGCAATTGTTTACTATAACACATTGTTTACTATAACACATCTCTGGAATTTGGTGGCGAGGATTGTCTGAAAAAGATCGAAATAAATCTGTCAAGATTTTATCAAAGGATTAAATTGAAGCGAAGAATATCGGTTTCGTAGTATTTTCTCTCGTTCTGAAACTGTGACATTCACACACACACTAATGTATCAACGTTTATTTGCCCTCGATTCAAACGATAAAACAACAAATTAGGTTAAAATTAGGATAAAACAACATCCCCTCGTTCGGATACAGTTACTCAAAACATTTTGACTTACTCAAATTTTTTAAGAAAGGACGGGGGCGATTATTTGATAGAATCGGCCCCTGCCTGAATTCCATTAACACATACATGGTTAGATGCAGAATGAACGGGAGAACATTCCTAGGCACTCGACAGACCTTAGAATTGCTCACAGAAAAAATTGGGTCAAATTAACTGTAATCAAACTTCTGCTTCTTCTGATATATATTATTCGAGAGTAGAGACCTGCAACCCGACCCGATCCTAGGATCGGGTCGGGTTCGGGTTTAGCTGTTGTCGGGCCGGGTCGGGTCGGGTTCGGGTTTAGCTGTTGTCGGGCCGGGTCGGGTTCGGGTTGAATATTTGGCGACGCAATTTAAAATATAAATAATATTTTTAGCTTTGTATTACTGGTTGAAAGTTATCTCTACTGGAATTTCCAGTTGAAAGACTTGTTTC